TTGGTGCTTAGATTGCCACTTTAATTGTGTTAGAGAGAGCTCTAAGTGTGAGGGAGCTCTTTCTAATAATATGTTGGGGTTATCACAGACGCCAGTGAGTACCAATTTAAATAATTTATTTTTATATTAAAGGTCAAAGAGGACGGCAATATATCTTTTGTGGCACTCCAATGATTAATTTGCTGAATAGTTACATGCCTTGGTCTCACAGTTAGCAACATTTATTTATTTATTTATTTTTTTCAATTTGACATTTTTTATTTTTCAGAAGCGAAAACAAAATGGGGGTACAGAAATAAAAAAGGAAGGGGGGGGGATACAGTCTTACATATAGCTCAAGTTACATTGTATCATAGGATTTTGCATCACAAGGTCTTGCAAAGAGTCTCGTTGATCAGCATATACCTCTTTGGGAAGGTGTCATTACCTAGTTTGAGGTAGAAGTCGAATGTGTTGTCTGTCCAGGGGGTGAGGGTTGGGGGGGAAGAGGGAAGGGGTGGAGGGGAGGGGGGGGGATTGCTCCGGTGGATGTGGGTGTCGGGCCAGCGTCAATGGGCTCATGCATGTAAAGGCTATTCCAAAGCCCACAGGTCATACTCCAGGATAGATGTGATACTGGTCCAGAGCTCCTCCCGCAACCTGATCCAGGGATGTGACATGGGAGACATAATTTGGTCTGACCACAGCCCGGTCACACTATCCCTACAAGATAACTTCCGCTTTCGGGGCTGTAACCCATGGAGACTCAACACGGGGCTGTTAGCAGACAAATCCTTTAGACAAGAAACGGAAAGGGAACTCTTACAGTACTTCACCACCAATGACATCCCAGAAACACACACCTCTTACACGTGGATAGCACACAAAGCTGTCATGCGAGGGATCTTCATACGCAGGGCCTCCCACATCAAGAAACAGACCCAAACAAACCTCATCTCCCTTCTCCGCACTCTCCGAGACCTCACTGCCCAACAATTCCTATGCCCGACCGCTACTAGGGGGTCCCAAATTGAACAAACCCAGAAACAACTCAATGATATTTACATAGAACGAGCCGCACGCACCCTACACACACTAAAAGCAAAACAGTACGCCATGGGCTCGCCTGTTGGGCTCATCCCCGTATTGTCTGTTTCTATCCCATGTCTCTTAGCCCGCTTCCTTGTCCCTGTGTCTCTGTATGTACATGTGTGTTATCCTCTGTTTGTATCTATGGCTCTTTTAGCCCAGTTTTCCCAAACCTCTCGTTTCCAGGGTTGGCGTGTTGTTGTGGAGGCGGTGTATGTTTCGTATCTTCCCACTGTTGAAACATAATTGGTCAGTTCTTGCATAGTCGCTGTGGAAGTGGAAAGCCAATTCCTGGTGATGTGCGACAGTGCGGCAATTTGGATGTGGTATATCAAGTAGTTATCGGCCGCGGGGTAACGGTCTTTGTACATAAACAATAAGAGGGCTTCTGGGGAGTTAGGGACTGCAATGTTTGTGTGTGAGTGGATGAGGGAAAGAACCTCTTTCCAATAGCTCTGTATGATATCGCAGCCCCACCAGATGTGTAGGAATGTGCCTGTATCTTTCTTGCATCGCCAACAGGTGTTTGGTTGTGATGGCTGAATCTTAGCTAGGCGTGTGGGAACCATGTACCACCTGTAGGCAATTTTGCGTGTGAGTTCCTTGTGCGCTGCCCAGGCTGATCTGCCTTTGTAGCTGTTGATGGCCTTGAGCCATGTATTTTCGGGTATTGGGCAGCCTATGTCTGCTTCCCATGCTTTGGCCCATGGGAGATGGCAGAGTTCTGTGTTGGTGTTCAGGAGCGTGTAGATGGCTGAGATAGGCCCCTTGGCTGGTGCTCCTGCTATTAGGCGTTTTTCAAAGTGTGTAAGGAGGTGTGTTTGGGGGTCTGGCGCTGAAGTTGGGGCCTTTACATGCATGAGCCACCAGGACCTCAGTTGTCTATAGGCGAAGTGCGCTATACTTGGGATAGTGTATCTGGAGCTGAGGTCGTGGAAAGGCAGTAGTGATCCTTTGTCTTGCAGGTCGTACAGGTGTGTAACTCCACATCTGTACCAAATCCTAAAATTGAACTCTGGGATCAGTTCTGCCAACGCTCTGAGGGACATGGCCATTGAGGTGGGGTGGCAGCTGCACAAGCGCGCGCGGTTGTGACTGGGAGCGCTTGCGCCAAGTTTGGCCGTTGGGGGGGGGAGGGGTTAGCCACATCAGGGTGGATATATTGAGCCGGTTTGTCAAAAAAATCTCTCAATGGATACCCACTGTGGCGTGTCCATGTGATGGTGGGCTGCCACTAGACTAGTCAGGATTGATGATCTATAATATCCCTCGAGGTTGGGTAGGCCCATGCCTCCTGCCTGAGTGGTCCTGTAGAGGGTCTTTGTGCCTATTCTGGGCTTTTTTGCCGCTCCATATGAACATGTTAATTTGTTTTTGCAACGCTTGAAAGTAGCTTGAGGGGGCTATCAGTGGGATTGTCCTAAATAGTTATTGTAATTTAGGCAGTATTACCATTTTTACGGCGGCAATACGCCCTGACCAGGAGATGTATTTATTTCTCCATTGTTGGAGGCTTTCCACTATTTCTTTGCTCAATTTGACATAGTTGAGATCGTAAAGTTTTGGGAGATTATGCGGAAGTCTAACCCCTAAAAAAGTGAGGTAGTCTGTTCTCCAGTCGTATGTGAATTCATTCTCGAGGTCCAGCCTGTATGTGCCCTCCATCCTCACCCCCATGGCCTGTGTTTTTGTGAGATTTAGCTTATAATACGAACACCTGCTATATGAGTGCAGTATGTCGTGAAATGCTGGTAACGACGTCTTGGGATCCGTGATGGTGAGGAGTATATCATCCGCGAAAAGGTTTAACTTAATTTCCCTGCCATCTATGCGCACCCCATGTATGCGGTTGTCATCCCTGATTAGGGCTGCCAGCGGCTCTAGTGCCAGAATGTACAGTATGGGCGACAGGGGGCATCCCTGCCTGGTCCCATTTGTTATACAAAAGGGGGTTGAAATAAAGCCCGCATTGAATACTCTAGCTGTGGGGTTATTGTAGAGCGCCTGAACCACCGCCAAGAACTGGGGGGAAAGTTAAATTTTTTAAGGACCGCCTGGAGGAATGACCAATTCAGGCAGTCGAAAGCCTTTTCGGCGTCCAACGAGAAAAGTTTGCTGTTGGTCGCTAATCGGTTCATGCCTTGTAACAGGGCAAGCGCTTTGCGTGTCCCATCTGTCTCCTGTCTCCCGCTGATGAAACCCACTTGGTCGGAATGAATCAGGGCGGGGAGGATACCCTTCAATCTGTTCGCATAAACTTTCGCTATTATTTTAATGTCAGTATTCAATAGGGAAATGGGTCGAAAGTTGGCGCATTTTGTGGGGGGCTTTCCTGGCTTGGGAAGTGTGGCTACGTTGGCCTCCAGCATCTCTTGTGGAAGCTTACTCTCGGCCATTGCTGTCGCAAATAGTTTTGCCATCTGGGGGGAGAGGATGGGGGCAAACTTTTTGTAATACAGGTCGGGAAAGCTGTCGGGGCCTGGTGACTTGTGAGGGGGCAATGCCGCTATCACTTGTTCTATCTCTTGTGGCGTGACTGTGTCCGTCAAAAGTTGGATTTGGTCGTCCGTCAGCCTGGGGAGAGGTACACGGTCTAGGAATTGGGAAATGTCTGCCGGTGTAGGTTGGTGCGTCGCCGCATCTTCCCGTAGGTTGTATAGTTTGCCGTAAAACCTCGCGAAGGCATTGCAGATATCTTGAGGATTGATAACTTTTTTGCCCTCATCGGTCATTATGTGTCCTATTTTTGTCTGAGCATTGGCAGTGTGCAGTCTATTGGCTAGCAAGGCGCTCGCTTTGTCGCCCATGGCGTACTGTTTTGCTTTTAGTGTGTGTAGGGTGCGTGCGGCTCGTTCTATGTAAATATCATTGAGTTGTTTCTGGGTTTGTTCAATTTGGGACCCCCTAGTAGCGGTCGGGCATAGGAATTGTTGGGCAGTGAGGTCTCGGAGAGTGCGGAGAAGGGAGATGAGGTTTGTTTGGGTCTGTTTCTTGATGTGGGAGGCCCTGCGTATGAAGATCCCTCGCATGACAGCTTTGTGTGCTATCCACATGTAAGAGGTGTGTGTTTCTGGGATGTCATTGGTGGTGAAGTACTGTAAGAGTTCCCTTTCCGTTTCTTGTCTAAAGGATTTGTCTGCTAACAGCCCCGTGTTGAGTCTCCATGGGTTACAGCCCCGAAAGCGGAAGTTATCTTGTAGGGATAGTGTGACCGGGCTGTGGTCAGACCAAATTATGTCTCCCATGTCACATCCCTGGATCAGGTTGCGGGAGGAGCTCTGGACCAGTATCACATCTATCCTGGAGTATGACCTGTGGGCTTTGGAATAGCATGAGTAGCTTCTGTCAGAGGGGTGCAAAGTGCGCCAGCAGTCGTAAAAATTAAATTGTAGCAGTAGTTTCGTCAGGGCTCTGCAGTGGGGTTTTAGCGTCTTTTGTCTTGCGGAGTGGGTCTGTGTGGACGAGTCTAGACTGGGATCTAGAACATGGTTAATATCTCCGCAAATTATTGTCACTCCCTTCTGTATCTTGGTCACTTTGGTCAGTACTTTGTGCAAGAAGTTACGTTGGTGCTCATTTGGAGCGTACATGTTAACCAGAGTATTCATCACATTATTCAACATACATATTAAAATAAGGTATCTACCCTGTGTATCAGGTATTTCCTGAAGTAGTTCAAAGGCCACCGGTGATTTCCTGGAATGCTTTCCTATGGCGTAATGTGGCCGCCGAAATGTCCACAAAAACTCGCACTTTGGCGAATTCTGGCGGTAGGTCCTTTGCTGTGCGACTGCTGCGGAGGATCATCTCTTTCACATGGAAATAGTGAGCTTTAAGTAGGGTGTCTCGTGGTAGAGAGGCAGCAATGTGTTTGGGCTTCGGGACTCTGTGTAGGCGGTCCAGAAGCAGCATGTCAACCGGGATGTCTGGTGCTAGGGCCCTAAAGAAGCTTCCAGCAACTCTTCCGGGATGCCTCGGAGTCGCAGGTTGCTTCGGCGTGATCTATCTTCTAGATCCATGAGCTTCACTTCATATTTGGCCAGTTGTGATTCAAGGGTTTGGATCCTGCTGACGGCTTGGTTGTGGGCCTCTACAATATCATCCATCTTTGTCTCCATGTGCCCAGTACGTGAGCCCAGATCATGTAGGTATTTTTTTATCTCGGCCACGCTTTCCTGCCAGGTGGCGATCAGCTTGGTTGATTGCCTGTCCAGGGCTGCCTGTAGTAGTGAGGCAGTGAGCCCCATTTCAGGCTGTGCATCCCTCTCTGAGCGGGGGCTGCTCCCTCCGGAGTGCCCGGCGCCATCTTGAAGGCCCAATTCAGTTTGTGAGGCTGGCGGCTTTTTTTTAGCGAAAAAATTCATTTTGTCGCCCTTGTCAGTTTGTCTTCGTGTCTTGGAGTGTGGCATGGCAGTTTCTGTGGTTGTCAGTCCCAACTGTGTGCCGGATTGGGTCGGATTGCCTAGCTCAGAGCTCAAGCGGCCATCTTGCTCCGCGGTCAGGACACGCCCCATTTATTTATTTATTTATTTTAACAGCTGGGTTTTTTTTTAGTTATTATTTTATACAATGTGTCACTGTTTACAACTATAATTTAAAGATTTGTACATATTTTCCCAGCGTGCCAGGAAAATAGATTCTCTCACTAAGGTGTGTAACGGTTAAAAGTTAGTTTACAAACGTATACAGTAAAACCTTTTACGGACTTCCTAGAGTAACCCACTTTAGCAGCTATGGTGCTATCAACTATAATATAACTAAAAGGTTGGGCTGAATTCCTGTTCAGCTTTTCTGTGCTGCTAGCTTTTTCAATCTTCTAAACCACTATTAATGATAGACAAAACACAAGCATCCCTACAGCTGGTGGAACTAAAAAAGTGGCATGGGAGAGGGACGTGATTTGAAGTGGCTATGGGGATGTGACATTTGTGGGGATATTATGTGTTTTGGGGGTAATTTTAAGGTTTTGTAAAATATGTGGGGGGGTTTTTCTGCCTGGAGATAATTAAGTTAATACATTATCTGACTCAATTATCTCCCAGGCAGAGGGGAGGGATTGTATGCTGTGTGTGAGTGTCGTGCCTTGTAACCTTATTGTTATTGGTCTGTGACATTGTAAATCAGTCTACCATCAGGTTCATCTGGGCGTACCCCTTGCATGGAGATTGCAATATAAGGCCAAATGTGGCATCATTAAAATCAGTTCCTCTTCACCCTCAACATAGAGCCTCGTCACATGTGTGGAGGGGACAGCTATATTCACTCTGGGGATTGTTATACTCATTATACTCCCCTGGGTTCTAATCACTAGCTCTTATAAGTTCCTGCTATATTCTCTATAGTGGAAGACGTTCACCCACTGGAATCTGGATCCTGGTCTTGGGTCCAGAGTGGGTGGAGGACGGCGAGACCCCAGCCAAGCTGTGGTGGCTAAGGGGCTGCAGTGCTTATGGTGTCTGGAGGAGTGCTTGGAGTCCTCGGTGAGCACTAGGAGCTTCGATTTATGGAGGCACCCAGTTAGGGTGCCAGGCGGGATTAAGCTAGTAATGCTCAACTGGGCGTTCACTACTATTTAGTCTTAAAAAGAAAAGACAAAGAAAAGACAATCCTTGGCAGCACTATATATTCTTCCACCACCAAGTAACTGAGCCAAATTCTGGTTTAGTTCTTCAGCACTGTTTAAATGGCTTTTAAATGGTGCTATACAAGACATGTCATTGTCCTATTTTTTAGATACCTGTCTATTAATTTCAAGTTTCTGTTTAATTTCTGTTACACCGGTCTGTTTGTCCAGGCCTGGAATATATGCCGACGCGTACGTCACATATATTGTCACTGACTGTATACGTGAAAAATCTAGTAAACTCTATATACAAAATAAATAAATAAAAGAAAGAGACTTAAACAAACAAACAAACAAACAGTATCTCTATATGTATCCTTATATTGTGCCCAATGTGACTAGATTCCTGTCTAACACTTTCTACAGAAAGTGTGGAGAATATGGAAACAGATACAAACAGTTGTGATGTATACAGTATCTCACAAAAGTGAGTACACCCCTCACATTTTTGTAAAAATTTTATTATATCTGTTAATGAGATAACATTGAAGAAATGACACTCTGCTACAATGTAAAGTAGTAAGTTTACAGCCTGTATAACAGTGTAAATTTGCTGTCCCCTCAAAATAACTCAACACACAGCCATTAATGTCTAAACCATTGGCAACAAAAGCGAGTACACCCTTATGTGGAAATGTCCAAATTGGGCCCAAAGTGTCAATATTTTGTGTCGCTACCGTTATTTTCCAGCACTGCCTTAACCCTCGTGGACATGAAGTTCACCAGAGCTTCACAGGTTGCCACTGGAGTCCTCTTCCACTACTCCATGACGACATCACAGAGCTGGTGGATGTTAGAGGCCTTGTGCTCCCCCACCTTCCATTAGAGGATGCCCCACAGATGCTCAATAGGGTTTAGGTCTGGAGACATGCTTGGCCAGTCCATCACCTTTACCTTCAGCTTCTTTAGCAAGGCAGTGGTTGTCTTGGAGGTGTGTTTGGGGTCGCTATCATGTTGGAATACTGCTTTGCAGCCCAGTCTCCGAAGGGAGGGGATCATGCTTTGCTTCAGTATGTTGGCATTCATGGTTCCCTCAATGAACTGTAGCCATTCAGTGCCGGCAGCACTCATGCAGGCCCAGACCATGAGACTCCCACCACCATACTTGACTGTAGGCAAGACATACTTGTCTTAGTACTCCCCACCTGGTTGCTGCCACGCACGGCTGCCACCATCTGAACCAAATAAGTTTATCTTCGTCTCATAGGATCACAGGACATGGTTCCAGTAATCCATGTCCTTAGTCTGCTTGTCTTCAGCAAACTGTTTGCGGGCTTTCTTGTGCATCATCTTTAGAAGAGGCTTCCTTCTGGGACAACAGCCATGCAGACCAATTTGATGCAGTGTGCGGCGTATGGTCTGAGCACTGACAGGCTTAACCCCCACCCCTTCAACCTCTGCAGCAATGCTGGCAGCAATCATACGTCTATTTCCCAAAGACAACCTCTGCATATGACACTGAGCACATGCACTCAGCTTCTTTGGTTGACCATGGTGAGGCCTGTTCTGAGTGGAACCTGTCCTGTGAAACCGCTGTTTGGTTTTGCCCACCGTGCTGCAGCTCAGTTTCAGGGTCTTGACAATCTTCTTATGGCCAAGGCCATCTTCATGTGGAGCAACAACTCTTTTTTTCAGATCCTCAGAGAGTTCTTTGCCATGAGGTGCCATGTTGAACTTCCAGTGACCAGTATGAGAGAGTGTGAGAGCAATAACACCAAATTTAACACACCTGCTCCCCATTCCCCATATCATCAGAATTTAGCAAACCAAACTATTGGGGTCCTGGGGGGAGCTGTGCTATTTGTAAAACCATTTGAAAAAGAACACCTTAATACTGTAGTGGTTATTGTGCTTAGAGTTTAATTTTAACCCCGTCCCGCATTAAAAGGACTTTAAAGCTATTGTGGCGGCATAGAACGCCGTAACGGCTAGCAGCCCCTGGAGGTCCGGTGGACTTACCTCCGCCGCGATCCTCTTCTGGATGGCTGCCTGACTCAAAGAGCGATCACATGTCCCTCTATAGCTGGCTGTGGACCTGCTAGCAGGGGGACTGTCTGTGAAATTAAAATAGAAATGTATTTATATATATATATATATATATCTATTATATATATAATATATATACATATTATATATATGTAACGTCATACAAAGTGTATTTTACTAATATAAGTACATATATTTGTATTAAAATACACTTAGAATGACGTTACATATATATATAATATGTATATATATTATATATATAATAGATATATACACATATATTATATATATGTTTATGTATAGTTACAATAATAAATAAAAAAATTAATAAATAAAATATTGAAACAAAATGTAATATAAATTATATATTCATATGTAATTTCATTCTAACTGTACTTTGTTATTAATATATATACATTGGTAACAAAATACACTTAGAATGACATTCTCTATATATATCTATCTATATATAAAATACAAATAACCGCAAATATATATATAAAGATAAATACATATAATTACATAAAAGATTACATTAGTATACACGTAGAATTTAAATACCTATAAATGCATACATATTAAAATTCTACATGTATATTTAAGTAATCTTTTAACATAATTATGTGATTTAATTAATTAAAATTTGATTGACATGCCTGACAACACAGGGAGAAAGTGTAGAGAATTTAATTCGCAAACACTATATTTAACCCTGTAAATCTCCAAGACACCATAAAACCTGTACATAGGGGGTACTGATTTTCTCGGGAGACTTCACTGAACTCAAATATTAGTGTTTCAAAATGGTAAATTGTATTACAACGATGATATTTTAAGTAAAAGTGACTTTTTTGCATTTTTTACAAACGAACGGCACTTTTATGGACTATATTATTGTTGTAATATGTTTTACTGTTTTAAAACACTAATATTTGTATTTAGTGAAGTCTCCCGAGAATAACAGTACCCCCCATGTACAGGTTTTATGGTGTTTTGGAAAGTTAGAGAGTCACATATAAGGCTTGCATTTCATTTTTTGACATTGAAATTTGCCAGATTGGTTATGTTGCCTTTGAGAGCATATGGTAGCCCAGGAATGAGAATTACCCCTATGATGGCATACCATTTGCAAAAGTAGACAACCCGAGGTATTGCAAGTGGGGTATGTCCAGTCTTTCTTAGTAGCCACTACGGTTGAACAGACATATAGCGCAAATTCCAGTTTTTGTTTACGTTTTGTTTTGATCAGAACGTGCACTATTGACTCCGTCCTGAAGGGGTTAATAACACCTTTATAATATATCCTTTAATATTCACCTTTATTTCAATTAGTTTTGAAGCCATGCTAATTAGTTTCTATTTTGTTGGAAAACTCAATAAAAATAATTTTCTACTGCTGGAAAGGCTTATTTTGTTTTAGTTCTAAAATAAAAAAAATGCTGCCTAGATGATAAATGTATTGGAAACACTGGCGTACACATGACCCATGGGGCCCCGGTGCGAAAATTGATCCGTGGGCCCCCCTCGCGCGCGCGCGCGGGCCGGGCCGCAACACATGACGGTGGGCACCTGGTCGCAGAGGTTACAGGGCTGCGACCCCTGCGACCGCGGTATGTACGCCAGTGCATGCAGATGCACACACACTTAAAGGACCACTCTAGGCACCCAGACCACTTCAGCTTAATGAAGTGGTCTGGGTGCCAGGTCCAGCTAGGGTTAACCCATTTTTTCATAAACATAGCAGTTTCAGAGAAACTGCTGTGTTTCTGAATGGGTTAAGCCTTCCCCTATTTCCTCTAGCGCCTGTCTCATTGACAGCCGCTAGAGGTGCTTGCGTGCTTCTCACTGTGATTTTCACAGTGAGAGCACGCCAGCGTCCATAGGAAAGCATTATGAATGCTTTCC